AGGATCACGCCCTGAGCTGGAAGGCAGATGCTTAACCTCTGAGCCATCCAGGCATCCCAAGCCACTTCATTTTATATACCAGTAGTGTCTAGGGATTCATTGGAGAAAAGGTCTTACCACTAAAAAGATTTGAAAGCCATCACTCTATACTTTTTAAAAAATTGTGATAAAACACACCTAACATAAAATTTACCATCTTAAGCATTTTTAAATGTACAGTTCAGTAGTGTTAAGTATGTTCACGTGGTTGTGCAACTATCACCACCATCCACCTCCAGAACTTATTCATCTTAGTTCTTGCAAACCTAAAACTCTATACTTGTCAAACAACTCCCCATTCCCCACCCACCCCCCGAGTCTCCACTCAAGGGTTTTTGATTTTTTAAAAGATTTATTTATTTGAGAGAGAGAGAGAAAAACAGAGAGAGAGGACAAGCAAGAGTGGGAGGGGCAGAAGGAGAGGGAGAGAGAATCTCAATCAAGCTCCGCACTGAGCATGGAACCCTACACGGGGCTGGATCTCATGACCCTGAGATCACAACCTGAGCCGAAACCAAGAGACCAATGCTTAAGCAACTGTACCACCCAGGCACCCCACCATTCTAGACTTTTTAAAGGCAAAATGAATGGGTGTCTTCAGCTACAGAATAAAATTATTCACATTCGTTAAAAGATAGTACAAAATATACTTAGTTAAAAAACTCTATCTAAGGTAATTCACACTTTCTGGACTCAAAGTAAGGACTAGTTCAGGTTGAGATTCAGGTGCATGCAGTTCTTTTAGAATTGAAAACATCAAGTGCATGTACTCCTACTTTTGCTTTTATTCATAGGTCTGTCCCCCAAGGCATTTGATAAAGAATCCAGGAGGTTGGCTAAACCTCAGAGTCTTACTTCTCTTTTCATGATGTCTTTGTAAACCTCATATTTGTTTTCTACTTAGTAGGGATACACAGACCTAAAAGAAAGGAATAGGATTTTATCTACGTTCCTGTAATAGTCTGAACAAAAACAGGATCACTGGGGCTGTCAGGGGCTCCATCTTGTTCCTTCTCTGTTGTTGCCCTGACAACTCTGAAGTATTTTAATTTTTTAAATTAAGAAAGTATACAGTTTAGCTTCCCTTTCTGGATTTCACCCACTTTATTAGAGATCTATTTCAAAAAACAAAACTTTCCCAAGATTTTGAGACATTTCGCAAAGCCTGAATAAGTCATCATTGCTTATTAAATGAAGGATTTAATATGAGGATTCCAGCCCCAAAGCTGTTTAGAAAGCTGACAATCGGAGGCCGGGGCTGTTGAGTCAGGTGCTGTTGCTCGAAGATTCCCCAGGCCACCGATTCACTGCTCCCCTGCTGGGGCAGAGCTGGGCGAGGACAAGTCTTCCACCTTCTGCTCTCTGCCATGTCAGTCACGCACAGAGGACGGGCTCAGGAGGTGGGGGTTCGCTTTCAAGAGATGGCATGGATTCTTGGCTTGACAGGAACTGGCTCTCATCTGGTGTGACATGTCATCCCCAGGGGCTAGTGAGGGTGAGGGTCCTGGCTGGGAGACCGTGTGCACACATGCACTCATAGGAGTTGTGGGTGGGTAAGAGTGCATGCAACACCACATGAGACAGAACTTGTGTTAGTGGCTCAGGGCCAAGACCCAGCGTGTGCCCCCCGAGAGTGCCACCCTTTTACAAATTCCCTCTCTGCGGCATGTCCGCCTTCTGATCAAGTGCCATTAGCTTCACATAGTCCTGTGGGCCCAATGCGGCCAGATGCCACCTGCCGCTGAGCTGGGCACACGGGAAGAGCAGGGTTCCAGGCCTGCCTTGCGGTTAGGGCGGCGGGCTCCTGGGTGCAGGCGGTGATTGCTTGGGAAGCCTCCCTCCCACCATTCCCAGGCCTGGCCGCCAGCATCCGCACTTGCCTCTTCCCTCCCTCTGCTCACCTGCTGGCCAGAGCAGCGCAGAGGCCCCTCAGAGGCCCTGAGAGGGAGCCTGGAGCCAGCCAGAAGCCTCCTGCTGGGCAGCCACGGGCCGTCGCCCAGGGGCAGCGGCCTGCAGGATGGGGCTTGTCACCGCAGCTGCTAAAGTCACCTCAGCAAATTCTCCAAGTGCTGCTTGATTTTAAAAATGCTCATGAAGGAGCACCTGGGTGGCTCAGGGTTGAGGATTGGCCTTCCGCTAGGGGTGTGATTCCAGGGGCCTGGGATCGAGTCCCACATTGGGCTCCCTACAGGGAGCCTGCTTCTCCCTCTGCCTATGTCTCTGTCTCTCTGTCTCTTATGAATAAATAAATAAAATGTTTTTAAAAAATGCTCATGAACGAGGTGGTCGTGAGGATGATGTCGTGGTGACTGGGATAGATTGATGGCAATGACAGATGGCACTTTGCTTATAATGGGGCTCAGGCCCATGACTGTTTGGTGCTAGTGGTGACAAGGGTGGTAGGGGGCTGGTGAGGGGGCAGTGTCACCTCCCGGGGCTGACATCTGTGGCTGTGGTGGAGAGGATGAGTGGCGGCAAGTGTGAAGCCGGTGAGCAGGCCATGTGGGCACCAATGGTGGAGGTGCCGGGGGTGGTGTTAATAGCCATTATTGGTTGTGGGGACCTAAGGTCCTGCAGGGGACAGTGGTGGCCAGTGGGGGATGGTCAGTCGTGGTGGTGGGATCTGCTGTTGCTGCCTTGGTGGCTGTGGAGCAGGTGGGGACTCTGCACATGGCTCTCTGGTGGCCACCCAGGACAAAGACCATGGGGACAAAGGAGGTGGCAAATTGAGTTTCCCATACACCTGGTTCCCTGGGGATTCTCGCGCGAATCTGCCATCCACCTTGGGAGATCCCTGCTCGGCCACTGGCAGTCCCTTGGGGGCATCATCCTCTGCATTGGCGATGCTGAGCTGCTCAGCCTCGTGGCAGGTTCTCATGCAACCAGCTGCTCGGCCAGCAGAATCAAGGCTAATGGTCGCTTTTGTGCCAGACCTGTGGCTGCATGTGTTGGCCTCCAGAAGGAGCAGGAACAGAATTCAGGAGCACCCCACATGGAGACTGGAGGGCTGAAGGCCCTCGGTTTCAGGAAGCTTCCAAGAGGACACTTTTCAGGTGTGAAAGGGACCTGTCTGGGATCATGCCTATGAAGTGACTGTCAGGGGTCCTGGGCCGGTGTCCTCCATCGCATGTGGGGGAGTAGTGCCTTCCTCACAGGGTACAGAAGAAGGACCCCCGGCAGGTGCTTCCTGCAGGGCCGCGCACATACTAAGTGGCCCGTGAGGAGACGCCAGCTTTTCCTGTTCTCCCGAGGCAGCCCTGTTCAGCTGATCGGACTGCAGAAATCACAGACTCAGCCTGTGCAGTCTATCCAGCCACTTACTATGTTTTGTCTGTGCTGTTGATATATACGTAACATTTTTTGGATTTAATTATCAGCGCTTAAGGCAGAGGTTTCACACAAAAATGTAGATTTCCAACCCCTCTGGAAGAATGGGAAGACTTGGTGCCTGGGTCAGCACCTCCACAGGGCAGCGTTAGGTGGGACATGGGCTCTCTGTTTTGCCACAGGCTCCACCTCTCCCTACAGCCCACCCTCTCCCCTGAGTTTGGGCCTCCTGCTCCAGCCTCACCTCTGTGGCTCACTGTCCTCCAGTGGTGCTCTGTGCCCACCTGGCCTTCCTTGTGGCACCCTCTGAGCCACAGGCCCACCACATGACCTCCTTTGAGGGAGGGATCTTGGTGTCATTATATCTGGATTTGGGTTGGCCAGTATCAGATCTGGAAATATTCTCTCATGTGATGGAGAAAAGTTTATTGGTTTAATTGCTGGTACCAGAAATTCCCCGAGGGAGAGAAGTGTCTTGTTTGAAGAATTTGATGATCATTGCTGGGGGTAGAAGTGGGATTCCAGGGCACCTGGGTGGCTCAGCGGTTTAGCGTCTGCTTTCAGCTCACGGTGTGATCCTAGAGTCCTGGGATCGAATCTCACATCGGGCTCCCTGCATGGAGCCTGCTTCTCCCTCTGCCTGTGTCTCTGCCTCTCTTTGTGTCTCTCATGAATAAATAAGCAAAATCTTAAAAAAGAAAAAAAAAAGAAGTGGGACTCCAGAGTTAGCAGGTGTCCTGATGTTGGCACCTGGAGTTGTTTCCATGAGAAAGGGAAGAATTTGTTATTTGGTTTCTAAAGAGGACGGGTAGAAAGGAGGAAAAGGAGAGAGAGCTTATAAGAGAAGGAGAGAAAGGATGGGGCCAGGTGAACAGGTGTCTTCATGGCCAGGAGAGAGTGGCCAAAGGCCATTTTGGAGACTGTGATGTGCCTTTCAAGGTATGTCTGCCAGGGAGATGGAAACGGCTCTTCCCCTACCCACCTGGGGTCTTCCGTGCCTCCTGCTCTGCTCACTGCTGTGTCGGGAGAGCAAGCTTTCTGTGGAATTTCTAGGGAGTAAATGTTATTTTTTAAAAAGATTTTATTTATTTATTCATGAGACACACACACACACAGAGAGAGAGGGAGAGAGAGAGAGAGAGAGAGGCAGAGACACAGGCAGAGGGAGAAGCAGGCTCCATGCAGGGAGCCTGACGTGGGACTCGATTCCGGGACCCCAGGAACACGCCCTGGACCAAAGATGGCGCTAAACCACTGAGCCACCAGGGCTGCCCCTATAGGGATTAAAGGTTATGAAATCCGCCTGGGCCTCCGGAATGGCCGATGCAAGAAGCAGGTGCCCCGGCAGAGGAGAGCGTGGGTGTCGGAGTCCTGGGACTTGTCAGGCTACTGAGCAAGGGCTCGGGATGTCCATGGATCATGGGGTTGGGGGTGGCTGGTGTGGAAGAGGTGGTACAGCCCATTTTACTAGGAATCTGGGGGCAGAGAAGCCCCAGTTGGTATCTGGTTATAACAAAATGGACCCAGGTTTCCAGAAGGAGCCAGACGTGGGTGCTGAGAGGAAAAAAAACATTCTGAGCTTGGAGTAAATGGTTGAGCAGCCAGTTTATTTGGAGCTGCTGGTGGCTCAGGCTGCCTGGGCCTGGCGGGGTCTGGGAGGGGCTCAGCCGAGCATCTCTGTGGTGGTGCACAGCAGGCCAGCCAGGAGAGCCAGGCCCAGCGCGGCCACACCAGCCAGTGCCACATCCCACCAGACCCCCGGGTAGGCCCAGGGCGCCCGTAGCTGCCAGCCGCAGCTGCCCAGCTCGTAGCCCGTCAGCCAGCCCAGCGGCCGGGTGGTGGCCAGCGCGGGGCTGGCACAGCGGACCTGCAGCAAGGCCTCGGGCGTGTGGTCCTCCAGCCAGAGACGCAGGTAGGTGAGGCTGCAGTCGCAGTGCCAGGGGTTGTGCATCACGTCGAGGATCTGCAGCCCGGGCAGGTGGTCGAAGGCACCAGGGGGCACGGAGCGGAGGCTGTTATTGGCCAGCAGGAGGTGGCGGGTGTGGACTGGCAGGGCGGGCAGGGCCTTGAGTCCCCGCCCCCTGCAGTCCACCCACAGCCCCATGGTCTCCAGAGCCTGGCAGGTGCACTCTGCGGGGCAGTCGTTGGTGGCCTCCGTGGCAGCCCAGAGCAGCAGCAGGGCCCCCCAGGCAGGCATTGGCGGGCTGGCTGTGGAGACAGTGGCTGTGACATAAGGGATGCTTAGTGGCCGGCATCCCTGCCATTGGCCTTTGGGACCAACCTGGGGCAAAGGACAGCTCACTTCCCTTCTCAGGCCTCAGCCTTCTGCTCTGTGAAACGGGGTGGCAAAAGCTGAAGGGAGTGATGGGCGCCCCACCCAGGCCTAGCTGAGCCTCCCTGGACAATCAGAGGGCCCAATGGTGAGCGGAGCTGTGGCGGCGGAGAGGAACGTGGGTAAGAATGCTCTTGGAAGAGCCCCTGACAGAGACCCCAGCTCCTGCTCAGGGAGAGGGGTGCAGATGCTTGCTAGATGCTTCCCAATCCTGAGCCCTGGCCCACAGGCTGCCCCCCGCCCCACGCCAGAGCCTGGGGACGGCCGATGGAGTGGACTTCCCAGACTGCACCTCCTCCCATCGATTCCCAGCAGCTCGTCCGTGGCCTAGTGAACAACTAGGTGATACCCGATGTAGAAGACAGTAGGGTGAGGATGCTGATATGAGGGCCAGGAGGGAGCCACGCATCTAGGCTAACCCTCAGAGCTGGGCAAATCAAGGCCCGGAGATGGGGAGTGACTCCTGTGGGGTCCACCCAGGGGTCTGTGTCAGAGGATGGACTCTGACTCAGGCCTCGTGAGCTCCAAGCTCTTGCCTAGTTCACTGACTTTCCTATGACTGTTTCCCTTTCCTAAGTCAGGCTCGCCCCCCAGGGCCTGACCCATGGCAGGCTGTCCGTGAATATTAATTGAATCAGCCATGGAGCCAGTGTCTTTGAGCGAGTGCCCCCCCAACCCCACCTTCTGGAGGGGAAAGCTGAAGGGGAGACAGGGCAGGCCTCCATGGCTGCCCTCAGTCCCTGCCAGGCCTGACTCACCGTCCCACCTGCATAGGGTGTGCTGTGGGGGGTGGTGCTGGGCAACAGGGAGGGACACTTACTTGTGAGGCCTGCAGCCGGCACCCCTTTCTGTAGCCTGAATGGTCCTGGTTGAGGCTGAGGAGGCAGCTCTATGAGAGGCAGTCAACGGTGGCCGACGCTTGGGAGGAGGAAGGAAATGATGAAAATAGCCTGGCTTATCCCCCGCGTGCAGCCTTGGAGGGCTGTCTCCAGAGGCCACGGGCTCTGGGGCTCCTAGGGACTTGAGCCCCGAATGGCAGGTCAACCCCTGTTTACAGAAGGAGGTCCCACAGTGCATCTCCTTGTACCACCAGTGCTTCCTTGGGCCTCAGGATGGGGTCTGTGGGAAAACCAAAGAAGCCCCTCACCAGGCCCAGGAGGTGGGGAAGGCTTCCAGAAAGAGGAGGCCTTGGAGTTGAGCGGCTCTGCTGATTGTTCCTCCAAATCTCAGATTTCCTCATCTGTAAAATGGGAGCAATAATCCCTGTCCTGTGTGCATACACAGGGTGTGAGTTGGGTAGCTCCCTTGGGCTGAGGACCCTATGAAGGGAGAATAATTTTTTTTAAATTTTTTAAAAAATATTTTATTTATTTATTTATGACAGACACAGAGAGAGATGGAAGCAGAAACACAGGCAGAGGGAGAAGCAGGCTCCATGCAGGGAGCCCGACACAGAACTCGATCCCAGGTCTCCAGGATCATGCCCTGGCTGAAGGTGGTGCCAAACTGCTGGGCCACTGGGGCTGCCCAACAATGTTGTTTTAAATTGTCTTTGGTTCTTCTGAACAGGTCAAGGAAAAAGGCACTTTTTTTTTCTTAAAGATTTTTTTAATCTATTTATTCATGAGAGACACACAGAGAGAGGCAGAGACACAGGCAGAGGGAGAAGCAGGCTCCCTGCAGGGAGCCTGATGTGGGAATTGATCCCAGAACCCAGGATCACGACCTGAGACAAATGCAGATGCTCAACCACCTGAGCCACCCAGGAAGGAGAAAGTCACTTTTTGGTACCACTGCGTCTTTAGCACCTTCTAACACCTCTTGTTCCTTTTCTTTCACGGGACGCCACAGGCTCAGTCTCTATCAGACATTGGTCTCTAGCTGGAATTTAAGACTTTTTTTTGGCATTATATTTATTTTTATAGCTACATCTTATCTGGGAGAGTCACATCAGTTTTCATGTATATTAGTGATACAGAGCTCCCTTTAAAAGATAGATGGATTTTCAATATATTTATTTTTTAATATTAAAAAGCATTAATAAAAAAAGCATTAATAAAAATCAAGCCTAACAGCAAAAATAGTATAAAAATATATTATATAATTAAAACATTTTACAATAAGTCATAAAAATTGCACTAATATGAAACATCAAATCAGTTAGAAAAGGGTTTGAAGGGACACCTGGGTGACTCAGCGGTTTAGTGCCTGCCTTCTGCCCAGGGCATGATTCTCGGGTCCTGGGATCGAGTCCCGCATTGGGCTCCCCACAGGGAGCCTGCTTCTCCCTCTGCCTGTGTCTCTGCCTAAGATAAATAAAATCCTAAAAAAAGAAAGAAAGAAAGAAAGAAAAGGGTTTGAAGAGAAGGCAAAATTTGTGCCCATGGAGGGCTGGGGGGCTGCCAAAGTGTGGGAGCCCCTGGGGTATAGCAATGCTTTGGGAGCAAATAGAGGGGTTCTAGCAAACTAAAGTAAACAGAGCCCTTGCTAAAGGGGCCCGGAGAGGAGCCCAGAGTGCGGGGTTGCTGGGGAGAGGAAATGCCTGGGCCACTCCTGTGGTCATGGGCAGTGTCGGCTCCGGGATGCCAAACCTGAGAAGAGGGTCCTGGGTCCCAAGCTATGCTGCCAGCTGAGCCTCTACTGGTGCTTGAGCAGTGTCAGGTGTCAGCCTGGTCAGGATGGAGGGCACCTGGGCACCGGTCCTGCAGTCACAGCAGCAGGAAGAGTCAAGGGCAGAGGGCTGAGGGGTGCTTTAAACTCCCCATTTACACATTATCATATATATATATATATATATATATTTTAAAGATTTTACTTATTTATTCATGAGAGACACAGGCAGAGGGAGAAACAGCCTCCCTGCATGAAGCCAGATGTGGGACTCGATCCTGGGACTCCAGGATCACGTCCTGAGACAAAGGCAGAGGCTCAACAGCTGAGCTACCCAGGTGCCCCTACACACTACCTTAGACCCACAGGAGCATGCCTTGTGTTCACTCTGAGTGTGGGTGTTATTTATTTATTTATTTATTTATTTATTTATTTATTTATTTATTTATTTAAGACACAGAGAGAGAGAGAGACACACACAGGCAGAGGGAGAAGCAGGCTCCATGCAGGGAGCTCGATGCGGGACTTGATCTCGGGACTCCAGGATCACATCCTGAGCCAAAAGCAGACGCTCAACCACTGAACCACCCAGGCAGCCCTGTGGGTGTTTTATTTTTTTAGCATCTCACACCTCGGAGCCTGCATAGAGGGCATGGCGTGGTTCCCGTTCATCTGTGTATTTGTCATCTGCTTCTCCCCAACAGCACAGCAGTCCCCTGAGGGCTGGAGCCATCTCTCTGGTCAAGCCACAGTGCCCAGGTCAGCGCGTGCACTTGCAGGCCCTCCCTTAGTCTTTGCTGGGTGTCTGCAGGAGGGAGCCAATGCTTGGACTCTGAGAGATTCCATCAGCAGGGAGGACGTCTGAAAGTGGACCCCTCATTGTGCAGATGCCAGCAAGCCTCTCAGAGGGGAAACCTGACTCCCTGAGAGGCTTGCCTGCCACTGGGGCCCGGGACCCCCTCAACAGCCTTCTGCTCCTAGGACACCTGGGATTGGGTTTTGTTTTGTTTTAAGTGCCCAAGGATGTGTACTGTGGTGTTGTTAGTGGTAGCAAAAAAATGGAGACAAAAGGAATAGGTACGGTTGCATGCACACCACAGGATGTTATACAGACATTATGTTAAATGAAATAAAACTGCATGAATTGCGTTGGGGGACTTTCCATTGTGTTGTTGAGTAACAAGAGTGAAATGGGCAGAAGTGTAGAGTAATACCTCATTTTGGTAAAGTGAACTGTGATAAACTTCCCTTGCCCAGGATGACCTGAGGATGTGGGCCTTCTTATTCCTTATCATGTGCCCCCGTCAAGCGAGCCTCTGCACCCTCCATGGCCAGGGGCCTGGGTCTCCCCTGCCAGCCCCAGAGGGTCCCTGGGCTCCTGTCCTCTGCTCGGTTTGGCTTTGCTCTCTGTGAAGGAGCTGGGCATTCACCTTCCTATGAAGCCCAGGGAGGCTAACAGGTGTGCCCCAAGGGGCCAGCCTCCCCAGCCTTCTGATCCCTGATCCAGAGCAGGGTGGGGAGGGAAGGTGTCATCTGGTGCCCCAGAGTCATGCCCGCTGTGGAGACAGCTTGCCCCAACTGGGGTCACCTGGCAGGTATGTGGTGAACACTGTCATAGGACCCTGGAGCCCAGACAGGAATGTCAGCCTCCATGGACTGTCCCGGCTCCCATTGTGGACGCCTTGGCCTATCTCCCTTTGCCTACACGCCTTTACAGCAGGTGCAGAGGGAGTCTGGGTGAGCGGGGGTCCCGGCCCCCAGGCTGTGTTTCCTGATCTGACCTGACCCAGTTGGACACACACTCCTCCTCTGGGGCCTCTGAGATTTCCCTCTGATTTTTAGCCTGTCCAACATTAAAAAAACAAAACAAAACAAAACAAAAACAAACAAACAAAAAAACAAAACCCAGCACACATGAGAACTCATTTTTGTTATGGGAAAAATTGCCTGTTCAGATGAGTAGGAAGACAATAAAATTTTCCATCAGTTCCAACATCAAGCAAGACTGCCTTTTATTTTTTCTCCTGTGTGTATTTTTCTTTTTCTTACCCAAAATTGGTCACTGGGGCCCACGCTCTTCCGGAACCTCCTTTTTCTACCTGTGAATACACCCACATATGCCACCAGTGTTCGCCATGGTTCAGTCGTATGGATGTGGCAGCTTTTATTTAAAGAACCTCTGGGCCTAAAGAGCATGCCTAGTTCTCCTTATCTTGGTCAGCCAGGCCTTTGTTGGGGTTGACGGAGGGAGAAGGACAGCTCTTTGGGCTTCCTGAGGTAGGAGGTTCTGCCTCCCAGGGCTGCCCAAGTTGGCTGGCCCGGTATCCTATGATATGTTCCCTGTGGAGAAACTGAGGCATTCTCCACTCCTGCCCCTTCAGGCTCCTTACTAGGTCACCCTCTGCTTCCTATATATGGAGGCCCACTCTGTCTGGCCCCCTCCTTCCTCTCAGTTTGTAAACATGCTTATGACTTCTTTTATTCTGGAAAAATCTTTTTTCTTTTAAGGTTTTATTTATTTATTCATCACACACACACATACACACACACACACACACAGAAGCAGAAACACAGGCAGAGGTAGAAGCAGGCTCCATGCAGGGAGCTCAACGCAGGACTTGATCCTGATTCTCGGGATCACACCCTGAGCTGAAGGCAGATGCTTAACCACTAAGCCACCCAGCTGCCCCCTATTCTGGAAAAATCCTGTGTGTATGTGTGCATGTTTTGAACACCACAGCATGCTCCCTGCCCACTTCCCTCACCCCCTTGTGTTCACAACTAACCCACATATAGTTGATACTTCTCACGGGCACCAAGTCCCATCTCAGTCCTGCATGTTCTCTCTTGGCTTCCGGTTCAGCTGTCCCTGCTTGCCGGCCATGTCCAATGCCAGCCCAGACCTGGCATCCTGTACTTGTTGGGCATTCCGTCTGAGTGTCCTACAGGGTGCTCACACCCACCATGCCCTAAACCTGGTTGTCTTTGCCCCCAAAGCCTGCCCCCTCAGTGATCTTCCCCTTATGGAGGGCCAGCTGCCTCTACCCAGCCACCTAGCCAGAAATCTGTGACACCGTCAGGGATGTCGCCTCACCCTCGCTGCCGTATCCCATCAGCTGCCAAGTTGGCAGGCTGCCCTTTGCCTTCTGCGTATCTATGGACTTCGTCCCCTTTCGGGTGGTTGTCTGTTCACTCTGCAGCCCCTCCTCCTGCCCTGTCTCCCACCTCTCTCCAGAGCCTTTCACCTGCTTCTCCTCTGAGATCCTCCTCCACTTCTAGAATGGGAACCCAGTTTTCCCCCA